AAAACTACCAGCAGTTCCATGGGAGAGAGATGGAGCTTTCTACTCCTGCAAACAGTTAGTCTCAGAAACTCACAGGGCACTTCTACCCTGTCCTGTAGGGCGGCTTCGAGTCAGAATCAGTGAGTTTGGCTTTTTGGTTTATTTTCCCCTTATTATCAGGAACTCTGAAGACAAAATAGAGTACCTTTTTGTTTAAAGAGACTTTTTAAAAAGTTTAGTGTGTTTCCTGTGAAGGTGTCCACAGCAGTTTGGCTCCTCTTCCACCACTTCTGCACACATTGTCCAGTAACGATGGTGACCTCCTTGACCACGCCTGAGCATGCTCACTGCTTCCATTCTGGTAGTTCCGTTTCTATTTATCTAGCTTCCCTGCCCTCTTACATCCACATCCCTCTCTTACAGCCATTTGTAAAGACACATAGACTCGTCATTTGTAAACGTTATTCAGGTTTTAAAATCTCGATTTCTGAATTTTAGAACGGGCGGGGGTGCGTCGGTCAGAATCTTTCCTCTCTCTCTTAGAGATAAGAGCATTTCCATAGCCCCCCCAACCCCCCTTTTTAACCAGCCCTCAAGTCCTTTCCTTCATGTTACACACGACTGGGAAATGGCTCCCAGGGTCCTTGGCAGCTGCGCCCCAGCCTCTAGCCCAGCTCCGTCCCTCTGGACAGGGCTGCCCCGCCATGTCACCTTCACTAGGACACATGAAGTCACCCTGCTTCCCCCACCGTTTGGGTGATCGTCTCACCCTATTGGTTCCCCGCCTTATGATTTAACTTGCTTTGGTCATGTTAGAGAAGATCTTTAAAAGCCATCCTTTCAAGAGAAACAGGAGCTTTCAGGTTCAGGGCCAGGGGCTTATTTTTCTCTCCTTCCATCTTGCTTCCCTGAAGACACCCTGCAAATTGAGTTTAAAGAACAAGGGTCTAGTTGTCTTACAGTGATTAACTGGCTTTTGCTTCTTGCCAGAGGACAAAGGCTAGATTAAGACTAGCTGGCTATTTCAGAGGGCTGGTCTCTCTGTGTTTTCTTTTCCAATCCTGTTTTTCTCCTGGAGGATAGGGAATGATATACGAAAACACATGCTCAACAAAACTTCCAATGTAAGCAGCGTTCGTAGGAGGAAAAGAGTCCCTGTACTAGACAAAGACCTTCTCAATGTTGACCCTTAGCTCTCATAAAGGTAAAGACAACACGAGGACAAGTGGGCTGAGGGGAGGAACAGAAGAAAAGAAGAAGGAGGAATAACGTTACCAATAATCATTTAACAATTAGAAGCCAGCCAGGGCCTGAGCTGGCCTGAGCATACCAAGCAACACCCTCGTACTCCCTGAGGTCAACCAGACCCAAGGCCTGACCCATCCTGGTCAACAAAAAGCTCCAAACGCTAGGATTTTAGAACTGGAACGACCCATACATTCACCCCAGTGCCCCAGTCCCTCTACGCTTCCCCTAGCTGTCTCTGTCCAGTGCCTCCTGTGTGAGGAGACTGGTGACCAGATGCAGCATTCCTGGTGGGATACTCTACACATTCCTAACATGATTTTAAGTTGAAATCTTCTTCCAACTGAGCTGAGTCTTCTTCTAACCTTTTCTCTCCTCTGTAGGTCTGGATTCAAGGAATGTTTGCTAGTGGTTTACTGGTGGCATTGCGGGTTAAGAGAGAGGCTGCTAACCTCAAGGTTGGCAGTTCAAACCCACCAGCCACTCCTCAGGAGAAAGATGAGGCTGTCTACTCCAGTAAAGACTTATAGTCTCAGAAATCCTAAGGAGCAGTTCTATGGCATCCTACTGGACCACTATGCGTCAGAATCAATTTGATGGCAATGGGTTTGGTAAAGCTTGCTGAGAAATACAGGGACCTACTAATTCTCCCCTGAATGGATTCTGAAGCCAAGTTCAGCACCCTAGTAACTCTGTGACTTGGGTCAAGTTGCTTAACTTCTCTGCCTCTGTTTCCCATTTCTAGAATGGAGATAATAGTAGCACGAACCTATTCAGATTATTTAAAGATTGCATGAGAGAGTCTGTGGAGAAGTATATGCACAAAGCAGGTCATATGCTAAGTGTTCAGCAGACTCAACTACTCAAATTTTACAAGAAGACTGCAGGCTCTTTGGATGTGAAGATAAGATTGTATTTATTTCTATACCTCTTTTTTTGGGGGGGTGTCTATTGCAAAGTCTGATTGACTATTTGGTGAAAAATAAATATTTACCAATTAAGTAAATAATTCATTGGTAATAGTTCTCTTCTGATAGTAAGTCCCGGAGCCCTGGAGGCACAGCAGTTAAAGCACTTGACTGCTAACGAAAAAGTGGACAGCTTGAAGCCACCAGCCTCCCTGTGGGGAGACGTTGTACAACCCAGGGAGCTCTATGGGCTGGGCCCCTCTGTGCTATAGCGTGGCTACACTTTGGAATTGACTTGACAGCCATGTCCTCTTGAGTCTGGGACAGCCCTCATGTAAAAACCCGACCCCCCAAATCCTCCTGGCCCCAATCTATAAAGTCGTTGCCATCTGGTCAACTCCAAGTTGTGTTGACCCTATGAGTCAGAGCAGAGTTGTGCTCCAGAGAGATTCACAAGTAGCCTCTTCTTCTGAGGCCTCTCTCTGGGGGAGGGGGGGGGCACTCGCAGTTTGTGCCACTGAGGGACTCCACCCCATTGAGCCACTATTCATCACTCCTTCATCCCAGACCGAGCTCTAACAATGTAAAGGTCTCAGAGGAGCTTCCGAACTAAGACGAACCAGGAAGAAAGGCCCGATCATCTACTGCTGAAAACCAGCCAATGAACACCGTGCAGCTCACGGTCATCTGATCTGCAGCCTCTCAGGAGGATGGTTGAAGGCCTGGCAGCATGCCTTTCGTTCTGCTGTGCATCGGGTCGCTGAGAGACTGGCCCACCGAGAGGCAGAAACAACAACAACCCCAAATCCCCAGCTTCTCTTCCCAAGAGAAGAGCGTTGGCTTGAGGCCCAGGTCGCCAGAGCCACTCTGCAGGCATGAAGTCTGACCCTGTGGAGCAGTCCCGGTGATGGATGTCCTGTGGCTTACACGCTTGGGCAAGGCATGCAGTCCCGTGAGGCCTGAGAGGCTTCTGTGAACACCATGAAAAAGCAATTCTTGAGAAACATGAGCTCAGAGAGTAGGAGATTGGATAAGATTTGGGTAGGAAAAGTGGGTTGGGGCACTAACTGGGCCCTCCCTTTTACTGGGTGGAGAGATAGAACCCTCTGGATGAACCCCTTACAGGGATGTCTGGAACAAGATGGATGGGCAGCTGAGCAAGGGTAAGACCAGCAGCCACCATCCTCCCTGGGGAGTGAGCTGGGGGTGCTAAGAGGAAGCCTGCCTGGAGCTAGGAATGAAAGCAAAGGGCTCAACTAGGCAATTGAATATCAAGGAAGTTCTTGGGGAAAAGTTCAAAGCACTTGCCCACCCTCAAGACCCCCTCCATACCGGTCTCTCCCAGGGTCTGTATCTCACAGCTGGTCAGAGCTGGGTCCAGGACCCAAGCAGCCTGGAGTGGACTCCCATGTTTCATGGGCTACACAAGAAGAAGCATGCATGGACTTTAGGATTGCACACCGACAGAAGGGGAGGAACTCCCTTAGGAGCCACTAACAGCCTGGGCGGCTGGGGGGGGGGGGGGGGGGGGGGGGGGGGGCCGCCCCCACGCCGCACCACTAGGAGGGGGGGGGGGGGGGGGGGGGGGGGGTGCGGGGGTGGCGAGCGCCGCCCCATGGCATTCACTAGAATGGGGAGAGAGCAGAGTGGGGGAAAAGATTGCGGTTTGTGTTCCGGAACAGCCTGTTACGACTCAGCGATTGCAGTTAGTGCCCCATGGATCATTTGGCACAGCAGAGTTGCTTCTTGTCCTTCCCAGCTGCACGAGAGATCTAATTCGCAAAGGCTCCATCTTGCATTCAACACTCAAATAAAAAACAAGCAGCCGGAGAGGCAGGCAGGCGGCCTAACTCCGCAAGCCCGTTTACAGGGCTGGGGCAGCCAGGCCGGTGCTATCCCCGGGCATTTCTTGAGTCTTGACACTTTCTCACGTAGGGTCCAGAACCCACTCTGGCTGAGGTGACCGACTGCAATTAAACAGGGCAGAAAACGGGATCTGCTTGGGTCTTTAGGTCTTGCCAGTAAAATGGAAACGAAAATGTTTGGGAGCTCAGATTTTAAAGGGAGATACTGCTTATTCTGCCCCACTGGAAACCTGGTGAAAAGAAATTAAGGCCTCTCTTAAAAGGTAACTAAGATTAGAGGCTTCGGTTTCCGCTTGGTGTGTTTCTGTGGGCCGAACGCCCAGGTCGGTCAGCGAGTTTCTTTCTGGGTGGAATGACGAATTCCTCTCGCCAGAATTCTAAAACGATAACTTTGCTTGGTGCTGCAGCTGCGAACGTCTGGCGCCAAGCGGCCCATCCTGGTCACGAGGCTGTTGGGGGCAGAAATGAGTGGGGGGGAGTCGGGGTGGCGGGGGCCAGGTCTCAGTGAAAAGCCGGATTGTGGTGAGGAGAGAAGTAACGGCCGCTCTTCCCAGCCTCGGCCCCTTTAAGTGCTTCACTGACTCAGCTAAGCTTCCCCCTCAGGTCGCGTTTTTTATGAATGAAAAACGTCCTTACATTCATTATATAAACAAGCCTGTGCTGATTGGACAATGGCTCCGGTGCATAAATTATGTAAAGCAGAGCCCTGAGGGGGTGGGGGAAAGGACAAGCCGCAGTCCAATGGGGGCTGGAGTTGGTGGGGCGGCTCTGTTGGATTTGCCCGCAGACAGGGTAAACAAGAGATGATGGACAACCGCAGGAGAGGCCTCGGGCCAATAGGAATGAGGCTGGGGTAGGGATGCGGGCCAATAGCGGCTGCGGGAGCGGGGGGCTGCGGGGGGCCGGGCCAGCACTCCAGCCTGGTTGGCAGCTGCGGCGCAGAGTCCAGCCGCGGGTGCACGGAGCGGTTCAGTGTCCCCGAGCGGTTCGGCCCAGCCTTTCACCTAGGCTCCCAGGCCCGGTGCGCGCGTGCGTGAGCGCGCCTGCGCCGCCAGGACCGCTTGCAAGGGGAGGAGAGCCGCCGCCTCAGGTGAGGGGGCGTTGCGGGGGCAGGGGACGACGAAGCTGGAGCCAGGAATAGGTCCCAAGGGCCCAGTGGAGGGAGTTCACGGGCTGATTCACAGTCCTTCAAGTCGGGTGCACTTTACCTCAAGGGTGAGCGCCCCGAGGCTGATCACCCCCTCCTCCGGTGGCCCGGTCCGGTTCGGCTTGCGGGGGGTGTGCAGTGGCTAACGGTTCCGGAGCGCCGAGAGCGGGTTTCCGCACCTCTGGGAGAGGCTCGTCGGGCGCCCGGTGCGGGGGCTCCGGGGCGGGGATGGCGGAGCGCGGAGTTGCGGGTTTCCGATCTCTGGAGATCTGAGAGCCCCGAGGGGACTGGGAGGCTCGCGAGAAGAGACGCCTGGCGAAGCTCTGCAGGGAGGAGGGGGTGGGAAGCAGTTCGGGGTGGGGTGGGGGGGGCATTTGCGAGACGTTGTCCCCGGAGCCCCAGCAAGGGTTAAGTGACATAGGCAAGTGTAGCCTGCGGGATTGGGGGTCGGCCGGGAAGTTGGGGCAGGCCTTGCGAGTTTCAGGTTGTGCACAGTGGACACCCACGCTCGCATCTTTACACCCCACCCGCGCCCCAGCAGTTTGAGGGCGTCCGGCTGCGCGGTGACTCTCGAGAAATTCGGGAGCACCCGAAAGCCGGCTTGGAAATGGTAGAATAAATCAGGGGCGAGTAGACGGACTCTGGACCCGGGGCTGGATTAGGGGTCTGGCCACCCACACTTCCTGAGGGGCCCGGGGACCTCGGGGTAGGGGGGACCGAACTCTGGTTGAAAAGGGGTACCAAAGAGATGCTTGGTGTGGGCGGGGGGAGGGGGGCGGGGAGGTGGTAGAGCCAGCGCCTCAGTTCGTTTTTATGAATGTGGGTGACTTTATGAATGAAGCGGGGTTTTTTTTGGCTCCCTGCTCCCTGCGGCTGTTTTGTTTTTTTTTTCCCTTTTCCCTTTTTGTGAATGAAGCATTGAGCTAGTTTCCTAAAACGCTGGGGGTGAGGGGCCTGCGTCGGAGGCTGGGCGTGCGTTGGGATTGGGGGCGGGGCGCGGGCACATCCGAGGAGTTCTCTTGCACGGAGGAGCCTGGGAATTGGGTGGAAGTGTGTCTTATTTTGTGAATGGGGCCCTGCGCGAGGGATCCAGTTACAGCTTCTACCTGATGTGGCGGCTGCGGCTCGCTCTCCCATTCATAAAACCAGGCCCGCTGCGCGCCGCGGGGGAGGGAGGGGCCGCGATTTCGCCCTGTGCGCGTTTTCCTGGGGGCACCCGCAAGATGGGGCGGGGGGGGGGCGGTCGGGGGTACACAAAGGAAGTGGTTTAAACTCCTGGGTGAACTCGAGTCTGCCCTGCGGGCTTTTTTTTTTTTTTTTAATTACATTTTGAACACAATTTTTCTAGCCCTTGAACTCTTGAGAGCAACTTAAAAGAACCTCGATATCTGTTTGGGGTGTGTGTTTGGCAGTTTATTATTTTTTAAATTAAAGATTCTTTGCTTGTTTTTTTCATGGTGAAATATTTTGCAACGTGTTTCATCATGAGACTGAAAATACCTCCCCCTCCTTTTCTCAATGCGCTAGCAGATACAGAATTTTTAAGGCCTCGGTTTAATAGATTTGAGAGCCTACACAGGGCTGGTTTTCATGTCCCGCAAATCACTGCTGAGTTTGCTTGGATTCTGTACGCAGGTCGAGCACGTTTGAGAGGGAGGTTTTATTCTTGAACCCTCTGGCGCTGTACGGAAGGCACCACTGGGGAATAGTTTTTCCCTAGAACTGTGCTCTTCCACTTCTCTCCCTCTTTGACTTTGAAGCCATCTGATTACAAAGTGCTGAGAAGAGGCTCCCCAGGCAGGGTTTCCTCACATTGGACTCACTTTTGAATATTTGATGGTGTTCCACCCAGTGAAAAATGCAGTAAGATGAAATTATCCATTGGGGAAAAGTTCCCTCTTCCGATTTGTCTACACGCTTAGAGCTTAGGGTGAATGAAATGCGTTTTTTCCTTTCTGTTTTACTGACTCTATGGTCTGATTTGGAGAGTCAAATACAGGTACAAGGGGATGGTGCCTTCCTAAGACGGCCCATTCATTCCTCTCAAGTAAGATTAGGTCTCTTGCTCCCTTTTGACCAGCAGCATTTTGCTCTCCCAACATTTGCCATTGTTGAATGAATGTGTGTGTGTGTGTGTGTGTGGTGGGGCACCTTCTTGTGTGGGCAGGCCTTGTAGAAGTGGGAGAGAATATTGACCTCACTGTAAAAAACCAATTGCATTTTCTTGTTATGGATCTTTTTCATTGACTGCATTTTAAAACATCTGGCAGAGAGGTATTTAGAACATGAGCAGTGGAATCTAATTTCCTTGATCTCTTTTCAAAGATAAGAGGGAGTGTCAAAAAAGTTTGCTGGGGGGGGGAATGCTATTGCTATTATCTTTTCATTCCACCCCCATCCCCCCCAACTGTTTTGAAACCCCCTGGAATTCTGTTCTTTTAGAAGTTAGAGATATCAGCTATCTCTGTAAATGTGGATGGAGTTCTTTTTGACATCCCAGATTCTACACCTGTATTCAGAAAGTGCTTTTTAAATGCACGATAGGGTGAGAAGGTAAGTGTGCCTCTGATCAATACCAGAATAAATAAATACAACCCCACTCCTTGTCAGTGAGTGGATTCTGACTTGTAGCGGCGACCGTACAGGACAGAGCAGAGCCACCCTTGTGGGTAGTCCCTATTGTATGGGAGCAGTACAGGGCACAGCAATCCTCAATGTTGCCCCCTTGTGAAACTCCAGAGCTCTTCTGGATGAGTGTGTTCCTGGAATTATAGACAGTGTATTATCATTGCCCTACAAAGTACTTTCAGAAACACTACGTGTTTCAGATTCTTTATTGCCAATTATTTAGAACACTTCAATACAGTTTCGATGCTTCCTGTTACTGTGCTGTCAACAGTGTAATGCTCTCTCTAAAAACTTCCAGACACGAGAAATACCCTGGAAGATCGGCTGTGCCGAACAATCTCCAACCCTCACTTGGCAACTATCTGGTTTTCTGACATTTTGAGTTTGGGGATAATATGAAGATCAACAGTTTGGGGTGTTAACGAAGTACATAATAGCAGTGGCAATAAGGAGGTGCTAGGCGAGAGGAACACGGACGGTTGTGATGGTTACGGTGAGGTTATGTGTGAACTTGGCCGGACCATGAGCCTCAGTGGTTTGGCAGTTAGAAAGTGATGTAAGTTGACAGTTATGTAATGATATAGTCATTTTCCATTTTGGTGTCCTGGTATGGTAATCCTCCATTTTGACACCATGCTGGTTTAAAAAACAAAAACAACCTAGTCTTTGGAACCTGACCTTGTGCACCAATGAGAAGTGGGTATGATAATAACTGATCCGGAGAGACAGGATATAGGTACATTTCACGCACTGGATGCCCTTCATAAATCTTGGTATTAGTCTGTAAAGCTTACACCTTAGGTGGGTGTTCGGTACTTAAGAGAACGGTAATGATTTGGCACAGCCCTACAGAAAGAACACTGAAATCACTTCATCTCTTCACACCCCCAGTTGAGATCTTCCACATTTTTATTCCAGGAGGACCCCTTTCCTCCCCACCCACGAAACTACTCAATGGTGAGACCTTTCAAAGTGATTGTAGAGAACTTGGAAGCACCATGGATGGGTTTTATGATCAGCAAGTCCCTTTTATGGCCCCAGGGGTAAGTTTATATGACTGTGGGTTTCTTTTGTCCTCCCCCTGCATGTAGGGGCCTTGTCCTTATGAGTTTAGTGCTGCGACCTCCTTTTGGACAATTTTATGACCCTCTCACCTTCCCTGTCTGTTGCCGTCTTTCAGAAATCTCAGGCAGAGGAATGTCGAGCCCGGCCTGTGATTGACAGGAAGAGGAAATTCTTGGACACAGATCTGGCGCATGATTCTGAAGGTAGTGAAGCTTCCTTCTCCTGGGCGATGGCTTCCTCCGCTCATTGCCCGTGTGTGCGCCCCGAAGACGCCTTTTCCCCAGCCAAGGAATGGTCCTCATTTCCGTGTCTTCTGGTCTTCCTTTTGCAGAGTTATTTCAAGATCTCAGTCAACTGCAAGAGGCTTGGTTAGCGGAAGGCAAGTTTCTGGGCTGTCCTATGTTCCCTATCAAAACACTTTGCTGTGCTTTTTAATAAAGCTTAGAAGTCTAAAATAAAAATCTCCTTTTGCAGCACAAGTTCCTGATGATGAACAATTTGTCCCAGATTTCCAGTCGGATAACTGTAAGTACCTTGCTGAAACCGTTCGGTCATGGCACCTCCAGGTCCAGAAGATTCCTTTTCAGCTGTAGCCAGTACAGTGGGACTGCCTCATTTCTTGTTTGGGTTTTTCAGTAAGTCAGAGTTCACCCTGAAAACATTTGTTCCATCCCATATTGAAATTATTTATTAGTGCTTTTATAAAGGCTTTTATATCCCTGCAAGTAAGATTACTGATCGTGATTCATCCACTGTTTATTTTTTGCCCCCAAAGGTAGGTATTACAAGGCTCTAAAGCTCTACAAGTTCACAAAGCGTTTGGGAATGCATTCTCCCACGGCTTTTTGTTGGTTGGTTGGTTTTATAAACGAAGTCCTGAATGGGAACCATGAACCTGATCTTTTTCTTTCTTTTAAAAGTTCCGAAAATAATTAATGCAAGAATCCAGTTAATTGTGGTTTCACCTGACAGAGTGTCAATTTTGTTCCTAAGTGCACACAGAGTGGTCACGGGGAGGACCTGATTGATTGACTCCAAATTTTTCATGCCGTTGCTGTGGCTTTCCCATTCAGAGAAGAGTGGAAATGTTTTCTGAAAGTGGTCATTCAGTGGCCATTGCTTGTGATAGCCAAATGCAGTGAGGAAGCCCAGAGCGGGCTCTCTAGCCAGCAGGGGCCTGGCTAGATTTGCGGGGATCATTCAGGGCGGCCCTCAACAGGTTGGAGTGCTTTTCTGGTCCAGGCAGAGCTATCAAGGACAAAGCTGGCTGATGAAATTTGAGCAGCACAGGGCAGCTCTAGAGAGCATTAGTCACTGGCGAATGAGCAGGTTTAAGAGAGGGCTGGAGAAAATGCTCCCTCTCTTGAGAGTTGCATCATAGAGAAAACCATGTCTCTTAGTCATAGTTTATAATAGCAAGCACCTGAGCCAGGCAACGATATGATTTCTCATTTTGCACCCAATAAATTCTTCCCAGCTTTGTTTTATCGTGTGTGTGTGTGTGTGTGTGTGTGTGTGTGTGTGTGTGTGTGTGTAAAAGTCACTAGGAGAAGAGAGGGTATCTGTGAGTCTCAAGAGTGTTCTGCATCGTTAACTGAAAGAATGGAGGCTCCAGCTCAACATTCTTTAATGAATGGCCTCGTGTTCAAGGCATATTGCCATGAGTCTTTAAAAGGGAATAAACTGTAACTCTGCCGATACATGGTTACCTTAGCTTTGTCACAGCTTGCTGGGGGACTTTGCTATAGGGAAGCAAATGTGTGTTAATTAGTGCCCTCTGCTTTCAAGTGATTGGGAAGCTTGCCAATGAAAAGCTAAATAACACAGCCGAACGTGTATGTGAAAAGATTTGTAATCCAGCCTGCTTCTGTGTTGACAGTCTAGCCCAGCCTTTCCGTCTCTTGCTCAGAGCAGCATAAGCTGCAGGTTTTTTGTGAGGTGGCTTTCTTGGCAGAGACCCTTTGAAATGCTTTTATGACACTTTTGTTTGTTTTCCCGCATCCCAAAGAGTTAAGGGGGAGGTGGGATGACTGCATCTAAATTGATTTCATGTGCTGAAACCAGGGTATGTTCTTTAGAGAAAAGATGGCAGGCAAACAGGATTATCTGTAGAAATTGGCTACAGCAAAGGAATCAATCAATGTTTCGGCTCCATAGAAATAATTCCTGCCCAACTTATAGAATGTGCTTGGTTGTTTAGTTAAAAATAATCAGAAAAACCCCAAACTTACTATCATCCCATCAATTCCGACTCACAGTGACCCTGTAGGGCAAGGGAGAGTTGCCCCGGTGGGTTTCCCAGGCTGTACCTCTTTACAGCCTCCTCTTTCTCCTGTGGGGCGGCTGGTGGGGTCGATCTGCCCAGCCCATGTTTTCCACAGCCAAGAGGTTTCTGCTTACCGAGTGTGAGGTGTTTGTTTACTTTGTTTGCTTTTTATTTTAATTTCTTAGGTTGAGGCTCTCTCGTGTTCTGAGGATAAAATAGTTGAGAAGCGCAGAAAAGCCTTTTAAGGACTCTCTTTTAGGAATTCTTTTTTAATACTTCCTTTATCTGACTCTGACTTCTAGAGGTAGAGCAGGGAGTAGGGTAACTTCTGATAGACTTGCTTGAGTGTTTGGCTAGGACACACATGGGAGGTGGTGAATCTCGAGCCCTGAGTTCTGTGGCTGTGTGGGGCTGCTGTTCAGACTGATGGTGCAGAGGTGCACCTACAGAGCCAGGTGCTGGCCAACCCACTCTTCCTCCTCTGGGAATCCCCTGCACAGTGCTGTGGGGGGGACTGCTCCTCCTTGGTGAATACTAGAGCCCCTGACTCCTCTGGGGGAGGGGGAGAAGCTCATTCAAACTTACTGTAGACTTAGGAGGTGGCTTGAACCACTCATGCAGTGAACCAATCTTCCATTTACTGGGTAAAGCAAATCTTTTTCCTAAACGCTGTTGGTTTAGTATTCTCAGTTGCAGGAACATTTGTAGGCAAATGCTCTTCTGCTCTGTTGTGGGCAGTAGTCAAGCTTTCCGGTTAATGATTAGATAATTTTCTTTTTTGGGAATGTGTGTGTGTAACAGAAGTACTAGTATGGGGACTCGTTTTTATTTGGAATGGCACTGATTGAAAGATGATGGCGTGTGTGTGTGTGTGTGTGTGTGTGTGTGTGTGTGTGTGTGTGTGTGTGTACACACCGTAGCTCAACTTTTAAAGAGATTATGTTGTATACATTTCCCCCATTTCTGTTTCTTGCCCATAGGCATCTCTCCTAAGCGTGATTTGAAGAAGTGAGACCATTGTTCTTATAAAGCCTTAATCCTTACAGAAATGGCAACTGCCCGATTTACGTGTAGCTGTATGCTTCTCACCTCCACCTCAGAAAATTGCCATTAGTAAAGTGCCCCTCCCCGTGCACGCGCATACACACACACACACACACACTCACGCACGCACGCGCACACATACCACCCCCACCCCTACCACCACCCCCAAACCTGGAAATGTTGAGATTAAATCCAAAGGATTAAAAAGAATAACCTCTAGACCATAGGAGCTTGCCAGTGCCCTCCCCACCCAGGAAAGTCTAGAGTGTTCAACTGTTTTACAGAAATCTTAGCGGACTCCCTGATTTTATAGAGGGGACTACGTCAGAGGCAGAGAGCTAGGGAAGTTTGGGGCAAAGAGGGAGGAGATCGGTGAATCAAGGAAGGAAGTATACATGTGTGTAAACACACGCACAATACATTAAGGAGGCAACAAAAAATTTAATGGAAAAGTAGAATCTGAAGATAATAGGATTTTTTCACAAACTTTTTTGAGCCCGTGTGTGTGTGTGTGTGTGTGTGTGTGTGTGTGTACACAGATAGATGCCCTCTTGAATTGGACAGTTAGCAAAGTATTACTAATAAACACTTGGTGCTTGAGTTTTTCCACTTACGATTTGAAGACAAATAAAAATGATAAAACTGACGTTTCTTAGAAGATATTAGTATGTACAGATAAAACTGTATATTAAATATGTGTGTCGTAGCCAAATATATATAGAGAGATGCATACCCGCTGCCATAGAATAGATTCTGATGCACAGTGGCCCTATATAGGGTTTCCAAGACTTGAAATCTTTATGGGACCATACAGCCTACTCTTTCTCCCACAGAGCAGCTGGTGGGTTTGAACTACCAACCCTGAGATTCGCAGTCCAATGCCAAACCCACAGCACCACCAGGACTCCATGTAGTAGTGTAATACATAGATCTACCAAACCAGGGAATCTGGGTCAGTACATAGTTTGTATACATAACCTTAATAGGCATGTTCTCAGAGAATTGACTATAAGTCAAGTCTGTGGCTGATTGGAACTCAGTGCTTAGACTCAGAAGGAGATTTTGTTCCTTTTTCTAAACTGACTGCTTGAGTGTGCTGAAGGATCCTGGAGATGTCAACACAAATAAATAAACTCCTTTTTAAGTGCAGATTTCAGGGTTTTTTTAATCTCATTTTTGAATGAGTGATGTGAATGCTTACCCATCCGCCTCATGAATAACTAGGATATTTTATGCTGGGGAGAAGGCCTAATAAAATTAGAGCTTCCACATGAAATAAAATGTCAAGAATTGTGTTTAAACCCAAATGACCCTACCTTTCCCCCTGGAAGTGTTCATTTTCTATGTATGTTTCAAAAAGTGTGAAATGACTGGAGGAAGTTTGCCATTTCCTAAGGACTGACTAGTTAACTGATACAATCTTGACTTTGCATAAATACATTGCAATTGATGGATGGAAAAACAAGATAAAGTGTCACCACAGCCTTTGAGCTTAAAACACATTGACCCTAATCTTGTGTCCATGTGAGGTGATCTAGCTGGCTTTTGTTTTGTTTTTTCTTTTCTTTTAAGGGAAATACATGTGTGGTTGATGTCATAGAGGCAGCCCGTCTTGATGAGAGCCTGTCTTTTTGAACTCAGACATGTAGTGTAGCAAATACCCAGGTTTACTTGTTCAGAGTTTTTTCTGGCCCTCCCTCAGGTCTTTTTGTTTTGGAAAAGAAAGAAAACGGTGACCCTTTTAAGAGACTTGGGAGGCAAGGATATCAGAAATTTACCCCTTTTAAGAGCCCATGGTTCTGAAGAGAAGGGGGAAATGAGCAAAGAGCAGGTTACTGGAGGGGAAAAAGCATTAGGGAGGCACTATTTGACCCCGGGGTTTTCAGGACTGCTATCAAACCCTTTGTTAGCCAGTCCCCTGCCTTATCCCCACATGGGTATGAAAAGATTCCAATTCCTTTCTGCTTTGAAAGTGAGTTGGATCCTTACACCAGGACTCAATAAAGACCAAACTAGCTACTTGACCCTGGATTGAAAAAGAGCTGTGTGTTTGACCAAGTCTGTTTCCCTGTTATTTTAATGCAGGTGTGTTTATTAAAAACCATGCCGTTGTCCTTTACCCTGTCCCGTGTAGTTTCTTTGCTTAAGAGAATGAAACCCAGCAGCCTTTCCTTCCAAGTCCGTCCTTGGTGCTGGGTAGAGGGACTTGGGTTGG